ACACACACACGCACACACACACACACACACCCACAAACTTACCCATCCGTATATGCATATATACATATATGCAGATGTATAGCTTCGGCTGGAGCTGCTGATGGACACTGATGCGCGTTTTCCACGCCACGCTTTTTCACGGCCGCATCTATCAATTCGTGCTGCCGGCTGTTGTAATACAAGACTTTCAAATACAATTGAATTCGTATTACAGATATGTGTGTGTATATAATATGTACATATGTACATGCATATAAATATGTGTGCGTTTCTTTGTGGCACTGGCCTGGAACAGAGCTCTTCGGCGTCAATGGGTCTCTAAAACTAATCATGTGCCAAGCGCGGAGACATAAAACATCACCCAACAGCCACTTGACAATATTCAGTTTGGCTCTACATTTCCTTCTATAGAGAGCATTCTAAGTTAGTCATAAAGTGCGAGAGGGATTGATCCAATTCATTCATTGATCAGGCCGTCGGAATAAATCAGTCGTATAATCATATAACACCAATCATATATTGATCGGACTAGGAAAGCGTCTGCTTTTCGGGCTCTTTGCCTCGTAACTCAAAGTCTCCTGTATCTTCTTATGAAGAGTATACAAACGTCTACCATGCGTTCGGGTTCGCTTCTTTTGGGATTTGCTGTTTAGTACTTCATTATAAGCGCACTAACGATGTTATGTTAATGATCTCAGACCCAGAATCCACTTGACAAAATGCAGCAGCAACGAAAACAACAACAGAAAAGACATTTCACTCCATCCAGGCAAGGGGGGCCAACGTCAAGAGTGCAGCTCGACTCTGAAGGGTACGTATGTATATACATACATATATGTATGTATTGTACACACGCAGCCCTATATTAAGTTATGTGCATATCTATATATACATGCATTTAGGCGACTGCGTTTATTTTTTTTGCACAGACGGACACTTTTATGTCCCGGCAATGTGTGAAAAAGTCCGTAGAATGTCGGGCATTTCTTTGCTGGCTTGTTATATTCGTTGTATACGAGCTCATATATCTAAATGGCGTTATAGCATCTGCATGGTCGGGGTACTGTTGATTGGCGTAGCTATAAAAATTCTTAGTGCCCATGCATGAGTTGCCATTGAAAGTTGTTGATGACAGATGCTGAAGCAGGTATATGTACCAAGGGATACGATTGAGAGCCGAGAAAAATATACTCTTAAAAGCTAATCATAAATCTTAATGACTATAGAGTTTAGAGTCTCTCCCTCTCTCTCTCTCTCTCTCTCTCTCTCTCTCTCTCTCTCTCTCTCTCT